ACGAGGTAGGTCTCCTCCGGCCCCCCTGGCTCGCGCACAGCTGTCCTGGGGAAGGCGCGCGTCCCGGGGCCGTGGGTTCTGCTCCCCGCGGGAGCCAGGCAGGTGCCCACCGGGGCTGACGCTCCCTCTCTGCCCAGGATGACGAAGTTGACACCAAGAAGCAGAAAACCGACGAGGATGACTAGACAGCAAAAAAGGAAAGTTAGACTAAAAAAGGCCACCGTGACCTATTCACCCTCCACTTCCCGTCTCAGAATCTAAACGTGGTCACCTTCGAGTAGAGAGGCCGCCCGCCCGCCCACCGGGCAGCGCCACCCGCAGACACCACGCTCTCCACCGCCCAACCAAACCACAAGGCGAATTCGCAACCGGGGAGGAAAAAGAACCAAAACTTCCAAGGCCCTGCTTTTTTTCTTAAAAGTACTTTAAAAAGGAAAATTTGTTTGTATTTTTTATTTACATTTTATATTTTTGTACATATTGTTAGGGGTCAGCCAGTTTTGATGATCGCGGATGACCAAACCAGCCTTCGGAGCATTCTCTGTCCTACTTCCGACTTTACTTGTGGTGTGACCATGTTCATTATAATCTCAAAGGAGAAAAAAAACCTTGTAAAAAAAGCAAAAACAACAACAAAAAAACAATCTTATTCCGAGCATTCCAGTAACTTTTTTTGTGTATGTACTTAGCTGTACTATAAGTAGTTGGTTTGTATGAGATGGTTAAAAAGGCCAAAGATAAAAGGTTTCTTTTTTCCCTTTTTTTGTCTATGAAGTTGCTGTTTATTTTTTTTGGCCTGTTTGATGTATGTGTGAAACAATGTTGTCCAACAATAAACCGGAATTTTATTTTGCTGAGTTGTTCTAACAATACCGTCTCGAGTGTGGTTTTTGAGTTTCAATTTCTTCAGGCATCTGTGGGACGGGACGAGGATGGATGGTTTGGGGATAGAAGATGAAGTTGCTTTTTGGGGGGTGCACAGGGTCTGGTGTGGGTTATTGGGGACTGATCTGTGGCTGTGTTTTTGGGGTTTAGCTCAGTGGTTCTGTGCCAGCCTCGCAAGCCCAAGGTCCTGGTACCAAAAAGAATCATAGAGATAATTCTCACTAGTCCAAGCTGGACTCTCCGTGTTCCCCTACCTCAGCCTTCCAAGTGTTGGGATTACAGGGTGTGGCACCACCCCCGGCTGTGCAGCTGGCTGCATTCTGGTTCAGCCCCTGCAGTGATACCAAGGACCCTCCCGGGTGTGATGATTTGGGGGTGTTCCCGACAGCGGAGAGTCGTCCAAGATGGGTCCCCGATCCGTGGAGCCCCTCCCCGGCACAGGCCAAGTAGGCATTTAGCATGGAGACCTTCGTGCAGTGCAGGCTGCCCGGCCACGAGGTGCCCTCTGGTGGTGGCCCTCGTCGTCGCCAGCCCTTTAGTCTCTGGGCTGGTGGCGGTGCCGCTTACCCAGCCCCGCGATCAAGCTAAATCCTGCAGGACTGAAGCTCCCTCGCCCCAGGAGAGGAGGTGGGCAGGGGACGAGGGGCCTCCCGGAGGGGGCGACAGGCTTGCGGGTGACCGGTGGAGCTGAGGTCTCAGCCGAGGCGGTGTCTGGGGCTGTCTCGCCTGAGGTGTCCCAACAGGCAGTGCAGTTGGAGGTCGGGGCGGGGCCTGAGAAGCCACTTGGGTTTACCGCATGCCTTCCTTCCCTGCCCAATGCACTGGCCACGCCCACACCTTCGGTGCACTCCCTGGGGAGGTCGGGGACACTGGGTTATCCGGAGAGCTCCCTGCAGTTCCAGGCCGTCCTGCTGAGACTTCTGCACTTTTCCTGGGTTTTGAGGCCCTACCGATTGCACTACAAGAGCCTAGGGAGGAGGTGGCCCTGTAATCCCAATTACTGCAGTCCCAAGGCTGAGGCAGGATCCCAAGATCCTGTCTAAAAATAAAAGGCCAAACTGGGCGTGGTGACCCATGCCTGTAGTCCCAGCGATTGTGAGGCTGAGTCAGGAGGATCGCTGAGTTCGAGACCAGCCTGGGCTACATAATGAGTTCCAGGTCAGTCTCAACTACACAGTGAGACCCTGTCTCAAAAAAAAGGACCAAGAAGGCTGGGGATTTAGTTCAGTGGTCTGCCCCCTGACTTGCAAGTGCAAGGACCCTAGTTCGATCCCTGGTACCCCCCCCCCAAATTAAAAATACGGGCCAGGGATTTAGCTCAGTGGTTCTGCTGCCCTCCTTGCAAATGCAAGGTCCTGAGTTAGATTCTCTGGTACAAAAAAAAAAAACCCCAAAACAAGAAAAACTGGGGATGTTGTTTAGTGGTAGAGGCCCTGACCAAACTCCAGCACCACCACAAACAAAAAAGGAAACACAAAGCCCAGGATATGTATTTGTGACTCCACAGTGCTCACACACTTTGGTGCTCATAAACCCCTCACACTTGGGGGACCTGTGGTAATCAAGGAGGGCTTCCCTGGGGAGGTGGCATTGAGGGGACCTTGAAGAGAGGGAGCAGCGCACATCGAGTCTCACCCAATCCCCCAGGAAGGACGCGAGCAGTTCAGCCACAGTCACGTTAACAGGGGCCTCAGTCCCCTCTGCAAAATGGGGACAATCGCGCGGGGCGCAAGCCAGGCTGGGGATGCCTTATCAGGCTCTCTAGGCGTGGGGACCCAGCGGCCACCCGTCGCTGCAGCAGAGGTTTGTCCCGCAACCGCCCTGGCTGCTCCCAGAACACACCGTCCCCTAGTGCTGAGCCTAGCACTCAGCCGGGGAACCTGTCCAGTGAGTTCCGGACGACCAGCATCCCACTCCCCAAATCCCCTCCCCTGGGCAGGACTGGACCGCCCCAGGTTGGAGGATTAGCGGGGCACGGGCGCCCTCTGGTGGTCAGAGGACCGGCATCGCGTCTCGGTTCTGTCCAGTCCTGGACGCAGCCCCTTCGCGAGCGCGGGCCCAGCCTGCACTACATAGTGAGACCCTGTCTCAAAAATAGATAAATAAAATAAATAAATAAAACCCCAAAGAGACCAAGAAGTCAAGACTTCGGGCCACTCCAAGAAGTCCTGCTTCCTCTCCGTGCCGACGCGGGTCAGACACCGGAGTGTCGTTCTCCGTGCCGTCCCTCCGGGCAGCCGAGGGCCCATCTCGGGACCGACTGAGGCTCAGGGCTGGCTCCGCGGGGTCAGGATCCAGCCTGGCCTCGGGTCCCTGAGCAGAACCTGTCCTCGCGGGGGACAGAATCCACTGCCAACCTGCCGCTTCAGGCCCCGCGGGCCGATGCCAGTGTCCTGGGTGTGGGCCGGGCCCGCTCACCTCGGTCTCCTCCAGGTGACAAGCACCTCATGACAACCCCACCCCACTTCACTGCTGACCCGGCAGCCCAAGCCGGGACACAGGTGTGCTCACGCTTCCTCTCCCGAGACCTCCACCAGCGCTGCCTCCCGGGGTGACAAGAGAACCAGTCCCACCTCACACTGGCACTGAGCAGATGCTGCTGGTGGTGAGGGCTCCGGAAGGCACAGAGGACATCTGCTGCGTTTGCCACCAACTGCCATGCCTCGCCGTCTTCTTGGGGATCGTTCCCAGAAGCAGCGTCTGGTTTTCCACTTGGAGAAGTCCCCTACTTGCACTCACCTAGTAGAACCTATGACTTGGTTCTGGCCAATCAGTGCCCCGAAGGCTCTGGCTATTCTGATTGGCTCAGAGCTGGCACATGACTACAGTCATCCAATTAGAATGAGTTCTGGGATCCTTGATGGGAAGGATGGGGATGCTGGCCCTGGATCTCTGTCTCTGCTTACTTATGTATTTATTTTTTGGTTTTTTTGAGACAGGGTCTCACTATGCAGTTGAGACTGACCTGGAACTCACTATGTAGCCCAGGCTGGTCTTGAACTCCCAGCTATCCTCCTGCCTCAGCCTCCAGAGTGCTGGTATTATAGGCGTGCACCACCGTGCCCGGCCCTGTCTCTGCTTCTGCTTCTGCCTCTGCCTATTTTGCTGTTGGTGCTGGGCCTCGAGCACGCTAGGAAAGTGTTCTACTACTCTAGCCACATCCTCAGCCCAAATATTTGTTTCTTTTCCCTTGGGGATTTAGACTTAAGAGACTGAGATGGCAAACCCCGGTGTGCTGGCCCGAGTCTATAATCCTAGCACTTTGGAGGCTGAGGCAGGAAGATCGTCCTGAGTTCAAGGCCAGCCTGCACTACATAGTAAGACCTTGTCTCAAAAATAGATAAATAAATGAAGCCCCAAAGAGACCAAGAAATGAAGACTTCGGGCCCCTCCAAGAGGAGGAGAGCTGAGGTAGAGGAAGAGGAACCGCAACCTGTGATTTTGCTGAGTCCAGTCCCCTGTGCCTGAAGCCGCTCGGTCTCTGGCTTCTCATTCAGCCCTCCTAGCACAGGCTGGCTCCCATCTGATCCTCTGTTGCCCGTAACTGAAAGAGCCTCACTAGTACTGAGGGAAAATCAGGGCTCCAAGCTGCAGTCCGCAAGACCGGCCAGGCCTCCAGAAACAGCAGCAGCATGAAGACCGGCGCAGGGCCCTCTCCTCACTGGTTTCTGATCTTGGGGAGGAGCTCAGTGGACTCAGCTGCAGAGTCCTGCCCGGAACTCCGTGCTCTGGGGCAGCCACCTCGTCTCCAGCCCACAGTGGCCCCTGGTCCTGTGGCCCCCTGTGCTCCTGTTTGAACTACTCCTGCAGAAGAGCAGAGACCCCCCCCCTTCAGGCAGCCTGGTAATTCTGCCCCAAGGGGCAGGAGGTGGGACCTGTCCTGCTTGCTAGGTGACCTGACAAGGGTTCTCTTCTCTTCTTTTTATTTTTTTAATTGGTTTTTTTGAGACAA